ACAGCTTCAGAGGCTGCCAAGAGCTCACATGTAGTGAAGACCAAAGATTGTACTTAATGGCAGGCGGGTCCTTGGTGGCTGTCTGAAAGCTGTGAAGTACTAGCTATAGAAGCCACGTGGGATTGGGCTGAAGAGTGAATAGGAAAGAGATAAAGAGATGTGGACTGTAACAGACACAAGGAGATGTTTTGAGAGATTTAATTATGGGTGGGCAGTAGCTGGGGGGCGGGGACTTATGGGGTCAAAGGAGAGCTTCTTTAATTTTGTTAATGGGACTCTAGATCATATTTAAAGTTGAGTTTGGGAGAGTCAAGTAAGAGGGGAGTTGACTATATGAGCTCATAAGATAACAGACAGGATGGATGAGATCCTGAGAAGGGAGGAGGTGAGCGGAATTCAGAAGCCAAGAAGGTTAGTATAGGTAGATGAGTATAATGGTTAGCAGAGAAGAGAATTGGATGTTGTTTTTCTCCCCCTTGTGATTAGGTGATAGTGTCTTCTGCTGAAAGGGAAGAAGCAGGTTTTATGTGTGAATCCAAGGGCGTTTCATCATAGAAGCATCTGTTTCCTTGCTTCTCTCTACTGTCTTTTAAAAACAGCTTCGTTCAGATATAACTTGCATATCACACAGTTCACCCATCTAAAGTATACAGTTCAATAGTTCTTATTCACAGGTAATATGCAACCACAAACAACCACAGTCAATTTTAGAAATTTCATCACCTCAAAAAGAAACCCCATACCTTTAACTATTCACTCCCCCTTCCCCCAACTTAGTGAATACTTCATTTTTGCTATCAGAAAGCAGAGAGTACAGTCTGAATTCAGATTTAAAATCATATCATGGTTTCAAAGCAGAGTATAAACAGAGACATATGAAGGGTTATTAAGAGCCTCAAAACTTTGATCTAAGCAGAGAAGGCTAAGCTCTACTCCTTAGAGTCAGTCAGTAAATTCAGCAGATAATATACTTAGAAAATCTACTAAATGTCAAACTATTCCCTGTCAAAGAGAATCATCTTATGAATAAAGATTGATGAAGTGAAATTGAAAAGGCAACACATGTAATTAGATTATAAGAGAACATTTACTGTTGAGAAATGATTTTTATCTCCTGGCCCAGAAAAAGTACATTCTAGTTACTTAAAATTTATATATGGGATAATGACGAACTGGTGTCAGAAATCTAAGACATTATTAGCAGGATACGGTAGTAACAGCAGACTGGAAAACGTAAAGATTTAGTTAATGTTGATACTGAATAAGAATTCATGATGGGGTTATTAGGAAGATACAGCATTTAGAAAATAAAGCAGTATAGTAGTCAGTAAAAATCAGCATAGAGTTAAGTAAAGATATATTGACAAATTAACTTTATTTCCTTATATTCAGGAAATGTGGAGGAAAAGTATATTCTTATTTTATCAAAGTATTTAACAAAAAGCCTTTTGAATATGATTTGGAAATAAATACATATGTTACATGGCTGAGCAGCCATGCCCAAAGATGATTAGTAGATCATTACTGAAAGGAGCGTGATAATTCAAAGGCATACTGTTAGTCTCCATTCAGTTACTTCCGTTTCAGCATTTTGGTTAACTATAAGGCCATGGGAGGCACGCCTACCTATCAGATTTTCAGGTGGTACAAAGATGAGAGCAAGAGCTGACATTTTGGATGTCCTTCACAGTCTTGAACAGTGTTGACTGATGGGCTGGTAATGAGATTAAATTAAATAGTGAGAAGAGTTAAAGCTATCATTGCAGTGTTATTCAAAGAACAGGCTTTGAATGAATAATTGCAAAAATCCTTAAAGGAGCCCTGAGCTACATTACATTTGCCACATTTGCAGGGAAGTGGTGGTCTGGTGTCTTCTCCATCATTCCATCAGGATGGAGTTGGAGCATTAGTCCTGCCTTTCTGGGAAGGATAGTTAAAGAAGTTGAGAGGAGGTTTTTCTGGAGATTCTCTATTAAGGAGAAAGAGGCAAGCTGTTCTCAGTGAGTAGTCTTCATGTGGAAGAAAAGTTTGGGTACTGCCATATCTGCCTTGCAGACCCGGGACCAGCAGACATTATAGTGAGGCAGTGTTTGTCTCAACTATAAAATTTTCTAACAGCTTTCTGTTTCTAAAGTCTGCTATTACTGTATTTCTAGATGCTGGAAATACTTAAGGTGAAGCAATTACTGTATTTCTAGATGCTGGAAATACTTAAGGTGAAGCAATGTGATCATTTGGTAAGAAGATTAGAAGGTTGTAAAAGGGCGTACCATGGACATAGATGATTCTTTAGGTGCCATGAAGTGCTGATGCCCTCTGAATCTGTGCTAAGTAATCTCCCTGAAATATATTTCTGGTCATAAATATTTGTTTATTTAGCTTTTTTATAGCTTTTATGTTTTTCACATAATTTGAATATTCTACTTTGTTGGCTTATTAGCTATGACTGTTTTGGTTTTCTTCACTGTGTGTGTGTTTTTTGGGTGTCTTTTTTAGGACTTACACTGTATGCTTTTTTTTTTTTTTTCAGTGTATGCTTTTTTAACTTGTGGTTTTTCTTCAAGAAATACTATACTGCTTCATGTACCTCTTCGAGCTGTTGTTACCGCATATTCTTGTTCTATATATACATCATAACCCCAGAATACAATTGTGTTGTTGTTGTGTTAGTCGCTCAGTCATGTCCAACTGTTTGTGACCCCATGAACTGTAACCCACCAGACTCCTAGGTCCATGGAATTCTCCAGGCAAGAATACTGGAGTGGGTAACCATTCCCTTTTTAGGGGAACTTGCTGACCCAGGGATTGGACCCTGGTCTCCTGCATTGCAGGGAGATTCTTTCCTGTCTGAGCCACCAGGGGAGGCCCTTACATATGTCATAAACCCAGAATACAGTTGTTTATACTTTAAACAAATGATACTTTAAGCATCATTTTTTTGTTATCTTTTAAAGACTTTTTAAATAATGGACAAATCTTTTAAATTTATCCACATCTCTATTTCCAGTGCTCTTCATTCTTTTCTGTATACACAGAGTCTCATCTTGAATCTCCAACACTTCCTATAATGCAGGACTGCTGATGACAAAATCTGTCAGCTTTTCTGTCTTAAAAACTCATTTCACAATGACAGTTTAGTAACTTTAATGATGTTCCTCAACTGTCTTTTGACTTGCATCATTTTTATCAAATCTGTTGTCAGTTTTTGATTCTTTGTCCGTAATGTTTTCTCCTTCTGGTTGCTTTTAAGGTTTTTTCTTCACTGAATTTAAGCAATCTGATTGTTTTCTCTGTTTCTTGTGCTTAGGTTTTTTTTTTTTTTTTAACTTCTTGGCTCCATGGGATTATAGTTTTCATCAAATTGGGAAAGTTTTCAGCCACTGTGTGTTCACATGTTTTGTTTGTCCCTCCCACTCCTTTGGGGACTATAGCTGCACATGTATTGGGTAGACCAAAAAGTTCATTTGGGTGTTCCTGTAACTTCTTAACAGAAAAATCTGAACAAACTTTTGGCCAACCCAATATTAGACTGCCCGCAGTCATCCTGTAGCTGACTGATGTGCTTTTTCCCTCCCTCTCTTTGTGTTTCATTTTGAATAGCTTTTATTGCTCTGTCTTCGTATTTACTAACCATTTCTTCCTCAGTATCTAATCTGCTATTAATCCCATCTAGTGTAATTTTTATTTCAGAAATTGTAGTTTTTAAGTGTTTAATTTTGGTCTTTTTTTTTTTTTAATGCCTTCTGTATCTTTACTTAACATGCTCATTTTTTTCCTGAACATACTGTCTGTAGTTCTAGTAATTTTTAGTGTCCTTGTGTAATTTCTACCATCTGGGTCACTTTGCAGAGTTGTTACTATTGACTGTTTTTTCTCCCCATTATTGGTTGTATTTTCCTGTTTTGATTCTTTGCAGGCTGGCTTTTGAGTTTTGTTGGAGAGCAGAGTTTAGTCCCAGGCTAATTTTTTATAACAGCAGAGACAAAACCCTTGGGGAGCTTTGCTTGATGCCTGTGAACATGAGGTTTTTCCATCACATTGATGGGAGCCTTGCATGAGCTCCGTGACTCTGTTCCCTGGCCGTGAGTACTTTCCTCACATGCATGTGTTTACCAGTGCTCAGCTGGAGAAGCAAGCAAGCCTTTTGCAGGTCTCTAACACTCTTCAGTGGAGCTCTCCTCTCTGGTCTTTGCCCGGAAAAGGGACCAAGGCTCCTTGTCCTCCACAGATTCCCAGCTCTGTCTGCTCACATGGAGTTTGTCCTCCCTGTGTGGTGGTCTGGCAGTGAGCTAGGGCAGTCATGAGGGTCACTTCATTTGTTTCCCTTCTCTCAGGGATAGCTCTCCTGTGCTGCCTGAAGTTCAGTGTTTAAAGTTAATTATGTGATCGATTTTCTCCCTTTTTTTATCTTTTGCATGGGGATAAGTAAATCTGACCCTTGTTTTGACCTTGGCCAAAGTAGAAGCTTTTTAGCGACTTGTAATACATTGCTGACATTTTAGCTTTTCACTCAGAGCCTCTTTCGGCGTCATTTCTTCTACCACTCCCTCTCCTGTTGCTCCCTCCACAACTGTTCTCTGCCTGTCCCTAATCCCCAGCTCGTGCCATGCCTTCCCCTCAGCCTGCTTCTCCCCAGCCGGTTCTTGCTTGTCAGTGTCTTTCCATTCTCAGGGTCAGCTCTGCCTCTTCCCTGTGGTGTCCCTCCCGTTTGAGCAGAACTGAGCCCATTCTCCCTGTTCTCTTTCTACTCTCACAGCCTTGTTTTCAGTGTTGAGGTGTACAGGTTGTGAAGCTGCTGGCCTTCCCTGTTGCGCACACACGTCAGTCCCCACATGTGCACACAGGTGCAGTGTTTTACTGCTGAGGGCAGGGGTGGGGCCTGCCCACCTTTCTGTCCCTTCTGTGGGTATGTAATACATAGAGAAGGTATTGAGCAAATGTAGGTGTGTTATTTATGTTTATTAAAATGAATTGTTCTTCTCCTCTTCCCCCACAATCAGGCTACAGAAGAAGTTTCCAAGAACCTGGTTGCCATGAAGGAAATTCTGTATGGCACAAACGAGAAGGAGCCGCAGACAGAGGCAGTGGCGCAGCTCGCTCAAGAGCTGTATAACAGTGGGCTCCTCAGCACCCTGGTAGCTGATTTGCAGCTCATTGACTTTGAGGTAAGAAATCGGTTTTTTATTTTTCAAAAATACTTAACTCTTCATAGTCCTTTTCGTATGCTCTCTCTTCTGAAATGTTTGAAGATTCTCGCTCGGCTCTTGGCTCGGGGGTGCTGACCAATAAGCATGTCCAGGCTGCCTGCCTAATTAGCGGGGCTAGGTCAGGAACTCAAGCGTATCGCAGACTTAGGCCATGTCTTTCCCCTTTCTTTGACAACATCATATATGAAGTTTCTTAGGTATTTGTTAAACGCTTTCATTCAGGTATATTTATTAAATAGATGCTGTTTTACATAATTCACTGGTCCTTGGCTCTCAGTAAATAATCTAAAGAAGACCATAGAATGTTAGAATTTTTGAGGTAGATAAGATCTTATGTGCATGCTAAGTCGCTTCAGTTGTGTCTGCCTCTGCTACCCTGTGGACTGTGCGCCTCCAGGCTCCTCTGTCCATGGGGTTCTTTAGGCAAGAATACTGGAATGGGTTGCCATGCGCTCCTCCAAGGACCTTCCCTACCCAGGGATCGAATCTGGGTCTCTTAAACACCTCCTGCATTGGCAGGTGGGTTCTTCATCACTAACGCCACCCAGGAATCCCCGGATAAGATCTTAGAGAACATCTAGTTTTTTTGTTTATTTGTTTCTTTAACCTGCTGAAAACTCATTACAGTAGAGATTATGTATGTTTTGTTTGCGTGGCACTGCTTTTAAATATTTAAATTAGGATACCATTAAAACAGCAGGAGATTTTATACACAATTTGGAATTTCTGGCTTCCCTTGAAAAATCTGGCAGCATGGGGCCTGTAGCCCTGCATGGCCCCTCAGCCTGTGACATGGGCATCCATACTCAGGTTTGCCTCAGACGGCACAGCTTGCTTTTCTACTGCAGGCCCGCTGCACTCGTTTATATTTCCTGCTCATCCCTGGTCAGCACTTGATACTGTTGCCCAAGTCTATACAGCCAAATCAGGCCATGCTAGATATTTAATGTATGTATTAGTGAGAAGAATGGCCCTTGATAACAGTCTTGAGAAAACTCGTCTGAGAAGCATATAATGAAGGGCTCTGGCATGGTCATGAGCAGTCCCCTCTTTGATGCTCTGTTATGGGTGTGCTTTGTTTAAACCCCAATATTTATCATCCTGAGGGGTTGGATGTCTGTGCCCGTTCAGTTCAGTCGCTCAGTCATGTCCGACTCTTTGTGACCCTGTGGGCTGCAGGACGCCAGGCCTCCCTGTCCATCACCAACTCCCAGAGTTTACTCACACTCACGTCCATTGAGTCGGTGATGCCATCCAGCCATCTCATCCTCTGTTGTCCCCTTCTCCTCCCGCCTTCAATCTTTGCCAGCATCAGGGTCTTTTCAAATGAGTCAGTTCTTCAAATCAGGTGGCCAAAGTATTGAAACTTCAGCTACAGCATTAGTCCTTCCAATGAATAGTCAGAATTGATTTCCTTTAGGATGGACTGGTTGGATCTCTTTGCAGCTCAAGGGACTCTCAAGAGTCTTTTGCAACACCGCAGTTCAAAAGCATCAATTCTTCGGCACTCAGCTTTCTTTTTAGTCCAACTCTCACGTCCATACATGACTACTAGAAAAATGATAGCTTTGACTAGATGGACCTTTGTCTGTTTAGGTACTTGAAAAACCAGGGGAGAAAATGGCAGACATCTATAACCAGGTTCAGGCTTCCCAGGTGGGTGGGACTAGTGGTAAAGAACCTGTCTGCCAATGCAGGAGACATAAGAGGAGTGAGTTTGATCCCTGTGTCAGAAGATCCCCTGGAGGAGGGCATGACAACCTATTCCAGTATTCTTGCCTGGAGAATCCCAGGGACAGAGGAGCCTGGTGGGCTACAGTCCATAGGGTTGCAAAGAGTCAGACATGACTGAAGTGACTTAGCATGCACATATAGCCACATTCGGTTTTGGAGAAGGTTGAAGAAAGTGTGGTTCTTAGGTTACTAGAGTGTACTATCAGTAGATAATTAAAAAAGAACAAAATTTATTTCTATCTTTTAGAACAGACAGAGGAACTTCCCTGGTGGTTCAGTGGTTAAGGCTTTGCCTTCCAATGCACGGGCTGTGGGTTCAATCCCTGGTTAGGGAGCTAAGATCTCTCACATGCCTGGTGGCCAAAAAACCAAAACATAAAACAGAAGCAATAATGTAACAAACCCAAAGTTTCTTTAATGGACCACATCAAAAAACTCTTTACCAAAAAAAAAGAACAGAACTATGATATTTTCGTTTATGTAGCTGATTTCTTATATTTTTCATAGCGTGTCAAATTCTAACAACAATTTTTATTTCCACTGCAAAGGTGGGGATGCATTGGGACCATCCAGTTCCTCCTCCTTTGTCTGCCCATCCTACTCCCCAGCCTGGACCCTGATCTTATTATTCATTTGGGACTTTAGAGACATAAATTTAAAAGAAATGTTTGCCCTTGAGACTGGTTTTCGAGATTGTCGTTACTACCCCTAACCTAGCACAGACCCCAGGGTGATCTCGGTGCTGGAAAGCTTTAATGTTTCCCTCACTCCCCTGCAGACTTCTGAAACTCACTTCTTCATTTGTTACTTCCTTGTGCAGCTTTCTTATCAAGACAGTTTCACTATATGAAGTTAACAACCACCTATTTTGTTTAGCAAAGTACAGTGGTGGAACTCTGAACTATTGAGTCATGTGATACTTAGTACCTTAACTGTTAATCTATATAAAATTTTTCCCAAGTAGACTTTGTTTAATAGGAGGAGATGGGGAATTCCCTGGTGGTCCAGTAGTTAGGACTCTGCACTTTCACTATGAAGAGCCCAGGTTCAATCCCTGGTCAGGGAGGTAAGATCCTGCAAGCCACAAGCTGTGCTGCCCGCCCCCCCGCCCCCCCCCCCCAAAAAAAAAAATAGGAGGCTATGTCTACATGCCGTTAAAGCTCAACTTCTTACAGAATTCTTTCATTTTTATTATAATAGCAGAATACAATTTCTCCTCCTTCCATCACTGTTAAAAGGAAGCTGCATGTATTGTTTATAATACGAGCATCCTATTTGAAGCTGCTTGCTCCCTTTGGATGGGAATCAGATCCCTGAACAATGTAAGCATATAGCAAGGTTTTGTTTTTCATACCTGAGTCAGCATCATTCTGAGAATTAGAAATCACTGAAATTATATGTAGTTGAGATTTCACTTTGTCAGCACATTATTCATGTCAAAAATATTTCACTACTAGAACTTGGAAATATAAAGGAAAAAATAAAATTCAGTGTCTATGAATGGTTTAAAGTCAGATACTCAGTCATAATTATAAATACACAGACCCATGATTTGAGTTTATTTGGGAGGTTGGATGGGCATTGGGTATTTAATCAGTATGTTGATTTGAGTTTATCTGGCAATGTGGATGGGCATTTGGGTATTTAGTCAGTAACTTGATTTGAGTTTATTTGGGAGCGTGAACGGTCTTTGGGTCTTTAGTCAGTACCTTGATTTGAGTTCTGTTTGGGAGCATGGAGGGCATTTGGTGTTTAGTCAGTACCTTGATTTGAGTTTATTTGGGAGCATGAATGGTTATTGGGTCTTTAGTCAGTACCATGATTTGAATTTATCTGGGAGCATGGACAGGCATTGAGTATTTAGTCAGTATCTTGATTTGAGTTTATCTGGGAGTGTGGATGGGCATTGGGTGTTTAGTCAGTACCTTGATTTGAGTTTATCTGGGAATGTGGACAGGCATCGGGTGTTTAGTCAGTACCTTGATTTGAGTTTATCTGGGAGCATGGAAGGGCGTTGGGTATTTAGTCTGTAGCTTGATTTGAGTTTACCTGGGAGTGGGGACAGGCATTGGGTGTTCAGTCAGTACCTTGATTTGCATTTATCTGGGAATGTGGATGGGCATTGGGTATTTAGTCAGGCATTTTGCTATTTTTGTCTCCCTAATAGGGCAAGAAAGACGTGGCTCAAATTTTCAACAATATTCTCAGAAGACAAATTGGTACAAGAACTCCTACTGTTGAATACATCTGCACCCAGCAGAATATTTTGTTCATGTTGTTGAAAGGGTATGTATAATATAATAAAATTGATATTTTTTACTTGAAAAGTAAAAAGGGAAAGATGATTGTGGGCAGAAGCAGGATGGTGAATGTGGGAAAGCATTTTCTCTGTAGTTCCATCAACTCCTTTTCCGGTAGTTCTTGATTACATTTCCCCCCCTTAAAATTCAACCTGTAAGCTAAACAGAATTTGAAGATGCCCAGGGGATTTTAAAGTTAGTGACTTATGAGCCTTAAAATCTCAAACCTCAAGAAAAAAATAAGTCCTCTGTGCTCTTTTTTCTGTTCTCTAAGATGTAAAAACCTTAATTGTATGAAATAGCAGCTAAATAAGTTACCGTATACTTAAAGACCTCTTCTTTGGACATACACGCATGCTGTATGACAGTAAAGGCTGCCCAGTAAATGGAGTGTGGATGCTGTAGCACTTAGCCTTGTTCAGTCAGCAACAACAAAGTACGTGTTTATGATGTACTTCCCTTTGCTTTTCACCTGTGTGTGTCCACCTACTAACCCACTTAGTTTGGTAATCCACGGTGCATCTTCCTGGCATTACTGCTGAACTGAGTAGTCATTTATCTTTGGGTAGGTATCAGTTTCCAAAAATAAAAAACCAAAAAAGCCTTAAAATTGAAACTTCTTTTTTTTTTAAATCCTCCTCTCCCTCATCACTGATTGGCAAGGTAGCCTTCTGTTGTTTCACACCAGGGTTGTTTGCCAGCTCTGGGTACGTGTGCACTGGCAGGGTTCTGTTAAATTGGTGGGCAAGCGTTTTATTGGCATGACTGTTGGCGTGAATCAGCTTGCTCTCCTACCTCAGCCTTATAGCTTGCCTCACTCTGATTCATATCTCTGTGGTTTAACACTTCCTCCAAGTTCAGACTTGTTTAGACAGAGCATGCGTCAGTGCCTGTGTTGGATGCCAGCATTCCATTTCCTTCTTTTTAGTTCTAACCATCTATGTTGCTTCTTCAGATGATGCTGTACGGAATTTTTGGCATCCAGTATTTTGTTGTATCAATCCAGAGCTGCCTGTATGAACATGTAGTGAGTAGTCTGAAATTTTGGTGTTCTTGGAGCAGCTTCCGGATGCCTTTGTGTATTTTTAAAGCCAGTATTCCTTTTTCCATAGAAAGCAGTGGTTATTAAAATCTGTGAATTAGTTAGCTCTGCCTGGGTTTACTGTCAAGTGACCAGGGGTATGATAGGAACATTGCTGAATGTCATGTAAGCCTTTTGAGGCACTATTTAAAGAAAGGTTTAAAGATCTCAACTGAGCTGGCCAGAGCAGAAACCTCATCTTAGGGAGGTGAGGAGAAGCAGCATGGAGAAGCCACTGGTGTTGGGACTCCACTCCACCCCTTTCAGTTTTTATTGTGGAAAATATACATAAAACTGGGGGATAATATAGCAAGCCCTTTCCTAGCCATGACCAAGCTTCAGCAATTATTAACATCTTGTTGATATTTAACAAATGATTAACATTCCTGTTTCGTCTATTTCTTGCCTCCTGTTTTTCCTCCTCACGTACAACATCACTTCCATATCATAATCATAATATCACTTAAAAACCTAAGCATAATATAATACCCAGTGTTTAGATTTCCTTGATTTCCACCAAAAATGTCATTTTTCAGGTTGTTTGAATCAGTCTTCAAGCATAGTCCACAAACTTAATTTGGTTGATATGACTCTTAACTCGCTTTTAATCTATAATAGTTCCTGCCCTTTTCTTTTAATACTATTATTTGTTGAAGCAACTGGGTCATGTGTTTTGTAGGAAAATCTCATGTTTTGTACTTGCATGCTGTGGTTTCACAAATAACTGTGTTCCTCTGTCCTCTGTTCTTTAGCATTTGGTTAGATTCAGCCTCGGTTGAGGGGGCGGGAACAGGAATTCTTCATGGATGGGGCTGTGTGCTTCTGCTGGGCAGTGCTGGTTGTCCTTCTGGTGACGTTAGATTGATCAGTGGGTACAGATAATGTCAGCCTGCCCATGGAAAGTTCTCCATCAGCCCTGTACCTAATGGTTTTACTATCCATTGAGGATCATTCATTTCAGTTCAGTCGCTCAGTTGTGTCCGACTCTTTGTGACCCCATGAACCGCAGCACACCAGGCCTCCCTGTCCATCACCAACTCCTGGAGTTTACCCAAACTCATTTCCATTGAGTCGGTGATGCCATCCAACCATCTCATCTTCTGTCATCCCCTTCTCCTCCTGCCCTCAATCTTTCCCAGCATTAGGGTCTTTTCAAGTGAGTCAGCTCTTCGCATCAGGTGGCCAAAGTGTTGGAGTTTCAGTTTCAACATCAGTCCTTCCAATGAACATCAAGGACTGACCTCCTTTAGGATGGACTGGTTGGATCTCCTTACAGTTCAAGGGACTCTCAAGAGTCTTCTCCAACACCACAGTTCAAAAGCATGAATTCTTTGGCACTCAGCTTTCTTTATAGTCGAGCTGTCACATCCATACATGACGATTGGAAAAACCATAGCCTAGGCTAGACAGACCTTTGTTGGCAAAGTAATGTCTCTGCTTTTTAATATGCTGTCTAGGTTGATCATAACTTTCCTTCTAAAGAGTAAGCGTCTTTTAATTTCATGGCTGCATTCACCATCTGCAGTGATTTTGGAGCCTAAAAAAATAGTCAGCCACTGTTTCCACTATTTCCCCATCTATTTGTCATGAAGTGATGGGACCGGATGCCATGATCTTAGTTTTCTGGATGTTGAGCTTTAAGCCAACTTTTTCACTCTCTTCTTTCACTTTCATCAAGAGGCTCTTTAGTTCTTCTTCACTCTCTGCCATAAGGGTGGTGTTATCTGCATATCTGAGGTTATTGATATTTCTCCCGGCAGTCTTAATTCCAGCTTGTGCTTCATCCAGCCTAGCATTTCTCATGATGTACTCTGTTGTCTAGGTTCAAAATGGTGATTTCCTAATTTTCTTATTCCTTCTCCATATATCAGGTGTTTCATGACTTCTGTAGGAAAGACAGAATAGATGCTTGACTCTTTTCTACATTTTCAATTTTTAGTATAATCAGTTGATGCCCTAGCCACTTTCTTAAGTGAGCAATGAGTATGTTATTGTTTTAAGCATCATTATGCATTTAAGCATCAAACCTGAAGTTTAATCAGATCTTAAAATATGTTTGATGTGTCTCAAACCTTTTCAGTCATCATAACCATGTTTTTATGTCCAGATTGCCCCATCTTGGGCTGTTGGGCACTCTTTCAAATTGGCTCCTGTGCCCTCTTGGCAAGACCCCCTTAGTCTTTGATAGCTTCCTTGCTGTCTTGCACAAGACATCCAATGCTCACTTTATATGGGTTTCTTCCTCAGACCTAGAAACAGGCATTTCTTCCAGGGCCCTGTGATTTTTCTGTTTTTCAGAAACTCCCTGGAGGTCCAGTGGTTAGAATTCAGCACTTACTGCTGAGGGCCCAGGTTCAGTCCCTGGTCAGGGAACTAAGATTCTGAAAACCATGCAGCACAGCCAAAAAGGAAAAAAAAAAAAAATTTTCTGCACTTGTTGATTAATTAGTTCAGACTGTTTCAACATAGTGTGATTATCCACTCAGGCTACAGGTATTCAGACATTAGACATTTTGAGGAGTGACACTGCCGGTATCAGTGTGCTTTTGGGAAAAACCGTGTTACTTGTGTTAGCCTGCGTCCGGAGGCAGTCGTTCTTTCACTGGCCATCTAAATGTTAATGTGCTCTCCTGCCTAGCACTAACAGGTTGTACAGCATAACTGTTTGCCTTGTACTCAGTGGTTTATGGTTTAATCATTTAAGGCCAGCTTGACAAACTGCCATCAAAACCTGCCCGACTTGTTGTACCAAGTTGTCTTACCCTTGTCTTTCTAGTCTCCTGCCTGTTTCAGAGCAGCAGAGAGGAAGCTGTGGTCAGCCATTTTGTGAGCAGACATTTTAGTCACCTCAGAGCCTGTCACCATTCTAGCTACCATGCCGCCAGTGACACAGAGGAATGTGGTTTTGCTGGTGTTGAGGGTGTGTGATGAACATATGTACAAAAGGAGGATAGTCCTACCAGATAAGACTCCCAGAGGGTTTCGGGGGGTAAACTGTGGCTTTAGTCAATAAGGCAAGACTTGGTAACAGAGATGGACTTAGGATTGAGGTTCCAGATAGTTTCAGATTTGCCTAGATAGAAAAAAGAGAGTAAGAACAGGGGCAGGAATGAACGCAGTGACTGACAACAGTAAGGAGAGGATCGGAAGGCTTTATGGCGTAGTGGGAGATGGTGTTGTGCCGGAGGCATTGCTATGATGTGGGGAAGCCTGGATGTGTGTCTGTTTAATTAGCAAGAAGAATCGTTTTAAGCTCCTAAATTGGAAAGGGCTACTGATACACTTGTGTGTCAGATGGATTCGTTAGGACAGAGTTTGAACAAAGACACTGCTTAGGGGCACTCAGGTGACCAGGCGTGACTTCATGCAGCACTGGATACAAGAAAGTGACACTGAAGTATTGCAGAGGAGCGTTAGGAAGGAGTGATGACACTGAAGATGGGAAGATTGGGAGCAGACAAAGAGGGGAACGTCAGAACTGTGCGATTCAATGCCGTTCTTACTAACAGCATGTAATTATTTATTTTAAGTTCAAATGACACTTAAAATTCAGTCCCTCAGTCATAGTAGCCAAATGTCAAGTGCTCAGTCGACGGCAAAGATAGAGAACATTTCCGTTATCAAAGAAAGTTCTGTAAGATCTGTTTTAGACCAGGATATCTGAAGCAAAATAGTGATACTGTTATTAATGACACATCAAGTTTATGGAATTGTGCAAAAGCAACAGAAAATACCTTACTACAGTTCAGGGTGGGTCAGGGCGAGTGCAGTTTAGGAGCCATGGTGGGAACTGTGAGATCTTAGGGATCAGAGCAATGGAAGAAAGCCTTCAACCAGGCAGGAAATAAGAACAGAGGAGGTAGAAAGGAGAACTGGGAGCCTTGCTTTCATTTTTTAAAGAAAGAGATGCAAAGGTCTGCATTGTCCAGAATTTGTGTTAGAAGATCATTTGTTTTAGCCCAGAGGTCTTTGGATTCAATGGCAGGAAACTAAAGGCGACTGTGAGTGGGGAAGGAGATTCAGCCTGAGTGTGCAAGTGTGAGAGGAGGTGGAGTGACAGGGTGACGTGTGTGCGCGGATGGCAGACAGAGTCCAGTCCGAGAGGTTTGGTGCACATCAGAATGGAGAAGGCTGCTATGTTGAGAGGAGACTGAGGTTCTCTTTCTGATGGTGGGGAAGGAAGAGGCGAGCGACCTTGAGATGGAGTAGAGGAAGTCTGTGTGGAGAGCTGAGGAGGGGTACATGGGGCCCCTGTGTCCACTTGGGAGCCCTCAGCGCGCTCGGTGACATCCTCAAGACCAGGCTTTCAGCTCTAGTGTGTATGTGTTGCCAACAGTCTTGGGAGTACTATTTTGAGTATTAAATTGAAACAATGAAGTGTAAATGCTGTATAATTTGATAGACCCATTTTGATACTATGAATTTAGGAAACTTATGTTTCCTGTTATTTTTTGATTCAGTGTTTGGTTTTTCTGAAGTGTTGAGAGCACCTCAGGTGAATTAAACCCTCTTTGGAGGTGTGACCCTGAATACCTCCCTTCAAGTCTTTTAACTGAAGGAATGAGCTTTTACCCTCATACTCACTGTCAAGGCTGTTACTTTTCTTTATGGTGAAGTGGTCACCACCCAATGACACATGTGTGCCCTCTAGACTGAGCACATATTCTCCACTGAGAGAGATACATCTTGTAACCTTTTCTGCCACTTAGAACATGTGTGAAACTTCCTGTTCTAAAAATCGGAACTGTTGGGAGTTTTAAAAGAACAGTGATGGGTGGGAAAAGCAGTCATGATTGTCTTTTCTTTTTGCAGGTATGAATCTCCAGAAATAGCCCTAAATTGTGGAATAATGTTAAGAGAATGCATCAGACATGAACCACTTGCAAAAATCATTTTGTGGTCGGAACAGTTTTATGATTTCTTCAGATATGTCGAAATGTCAACATTTGACATAGCTTCAGATGCATTTGCCACATTCAAGGTAACAAAAACTATAGAATTCTAAATATATGTACAAGTGAGATTAACAGGTGTGCTGTTTGCTAAACTTTCTGTACCCTCCAAATCTACACACGGCTGCCCTCTAGTGGGAAAACAGAAGATGTATTTTATATGTGTGTTTGTGACTCAGGTATGTGCAGTAGAGTCACAGCTTTAACAGAGTGGAAAAGTTAAGACTCTGAAGTCTGTCTAAAAGGCATAAGTCCTGTATGGTCAAAGGTACACTTTTCTGTTAAATTCCACATCAAATACAGTATATAGATATACAGTATATGTGAAAATCAGATTTGTCTCCTGTGTTGGAACATAGTGCAGCAATTTCTTTGGTTAAGCGTCAGACAGAGTAGTTGCCTTCCGTTCAGGGGCATATCAGTTTGGAATACACATACCTTTAAATACTAGAACCACCTTCGGGACAGATCACCCTGTTGTGAACAGGCCCAAGGGCACAGTGAGCTGCTCTCTCCCGTCTCATGCTCAGGCCCGAGCTGCTTATTAAACTCAGGGTGGAGAGGGTGCACAATCACCAGAAGCGTCCCTCCCTCCCCTGCCTGCCTTAGCCCCTTTTGTGTGTTTGTATAAATTAAAGACACGTGATATGGCATCAGTGTACGGCATGCACATTTGTTTTAAATTGCAAGGTTCTGTGCTGTTTAAAGTATGTGAATAAAGCAGTAATGTTTATTAGTGCTTTTTACAGTAAGAGCAAGCCTTTATGTGCTGTTGTTGTTCAGTCACTAAGTCGTGCCCAACTCTTTGTGACCCGATGAACTGCAGCACACCAGGCTTCCCGCCCTTCTCTGTCTCCCAGGTTTGTGCAGACTCATGTCCCTTGAGTCAGTGATGTCATCTAACTGTCTCATCCTCTGTGTGATATGTTAACATTCCCTTATATACAATGTCTGACCTCATAAGTGAGTATTTAGAACTGCAATTTCAATATATTCAGAATTTAATAGTCTTAACATAGACTACTGTGCTTACAAACCATAAACACTGTTACAGTGAGAAGTGGCCACTATTATTGTGAAGGTTCAGTTTTATGTGTAAAGACCCATTTAGACGATGAACACGTGCCTTGGTCTTTGAATAAAATGTGTTCCTCCAGTAGAATGAACACCCTTAAAATACGTGAAAGACTGGAAGCCTGGGGTTTCACATTGAATGAGAATAAAGTAATAATGTGAAAGGTGCCTAGGGATTATTAAAGATGTCAGAAATCTTAGGTACGACCTCAGTTATTTATATGTTAATGTACGAAGCAAGGGCTTCCCAGTTGGTTTACTGGTAAAGAATCCACCTGCCAATGCAGGTGGATTGTTCGATCCCTGGGTCGGGAAGATCCCCTGGAGGAAGAAATGGCACTCCAGTATTCTTGGCCTGTAAAATCCCATGGACAGAGGAGCCTGGCAGGCTACAGTCCACGGGGTTGCAAAAAGTTGGACACAGTTGAGCATCTGAGCACACACACATGTACAAAGCAAAGTGAAATGACTTTGAGATTATAACGTGGAGTGGTAAACATGACATCTTAGCTATCACTGCACTGGTGGGTTGGGACTCGTGCTTGGGACATACTGATGGAAGGGGACACCCGTTCAGAAGCAGCAGACCTGTTAGGAGGGAAGTGCAGCCGCACCAGGTGTCAGGAAGGGATGCTCCTGTGTGGGAAGCAGGCCGGAAGCCCGAGCGCAGGACCCTGGGAGGAGGAGGGCGAGGGCAGAGGAGAGGAGCAGCAGTGGGCTGGTAGAGTTCAGCTGGACCGCCTGACCGAGAGGACGCAAGGGACATGCTCCTAGCACAGACAGCACAGCTGAGGTGAGTGACGTGCTCACTCTGCCAGAAACGTGAGTCCCAGTCTCTGACGGTCTGATTGGCCTTGCTGATAATCCCATCTCAGTTAGGATTACCTCTTTGAATGAAATTGTCACCAAGAAGAATGGTGGTGATGGAATCGCTGTGGGTAAAGCATCCCTGCTGGGTCCTGGCCAGAGGCGGAGAGACTGAGCAGAGTCAGGCAGGTGTTCTCTGCCTGAAGAAGGGAAACTTGAGAGACCTGCTAGGATTCTCAGGGTGAGCTCTAGAGGAGAGGGCTCTAGAGCAGTGAGGATGGGCTTGACTCCTGTGTCTCAGCTACTCCTGATAGAAGGGGGAGAGCCTGCCAAGAAGCAAGAGGAAGTGGGGCCCAGAACGAAGATGCTTCAGGAGAAGCACAGGCCTGTCAAACAGACTGAAGCTCCCTCCCCACCCTTCCTTAAGTCTGGTCAGGGCAGGGCTGGTCTGACCTCCATGCCAGAGGTGCTGATAAGGGAAGGAGGTTGCTCCTCTTCGGTTTGCTGGTGGCCTCTTGGCAGAGGACACTTTTATAATGGAAAAAATAGATCCTTGGTTCATGCTCTCCTTTGAGAATGACCAGAGCTACCGTCCCAGAAAATGTACTTCACACACAAAAACTTTCAAACAAATGCAGCTCATCCATAACCCTGAACGAGGAGGAACAGGTGCTGAATCTTAAAGGGAAATTAAAACTACCTGCTCGAAATATGTCTACAGTTCAGAGCTTGAATGAATGGGATACTGAGGCAGTAAATCGGTGGCCAATTATTTGTTCATGATTTTTTTTAAAGAGGAATTAAGGAGACGGGGAAGGGTATCAGAAGGTCAACAAATATATTTACCATTTTCCAGAGTAAAAGAAAGTAGACTCCCCAGAGAGGCTGGTGGAGCTTGGAGCTTGATATTATACCTGTGTAAGGTCCTAGAAAATATTACTGCTAAAGAGATGGTTTCTGAGCATTTTGGAAAGGAAACCGTGTACACACAGCCAGCATGGATTCACTAAGAGTAAGTTCAGTCATACTAATCTCATAGACACGTGTAGATCAGTGAAGGGCATGGCTGCCTGGAGTCAGCTCCCTGCTCTGAGACTGATTTAACCTGTCTTTCCATCTGTCAGAATGTAGATGACAATATGAATATGTCCAGGTTATTGTGTCCTCAATAGTCTATGCACAGAGAACAGTAGCCATTAGAATTACTCCTTTATATATTAGATGTTGAATGTCTGTTAAAACAGACCTGTAAAACAATGAAAAACTCGGGGCTGGATGGAGTTTCAGGTTAGCAATTCTTAATTAATTGAATACCATATCCATAAGGTGCCAGAAAATGGATTGCCACCATCCTGGAGAGAAATTTTTAGTGGATTTGTCTTCACTTAGCACAGCCGAAGATTGTTATTAAAGACTCAGATAAAAGGTGGCAACAAATGTATGCCACAAAGGAATAGAAAGCAGATAGATCCTGAAATAAGGCTTCATAAAAATCCACAGAGGCCAGAATATATAACAGGTTGAAGTTAAATACAGATAAACTGAGGTCTTCAACACAACATTGTAAAGCAATTATCCTCCAATTAAAAATTTTTTCAAGTATTAAAAAACCCACAAAAGCTGAGGTCTTCCACCTGAGGACCCAGCTTTGTAAATATGAGATGTGAGAATAAGGCATGATAATAGGAGGTAATACTAAATGTAGTCAATACACAGTGTAATAATGACTAAAATGTAGGTAACTTCATATCATATTCAAACTACCCTGTGAAGGAGGTATTGTTATTATCTTCTTTACACATGAGGAAATGGAAACCTAGAAAAATGTTGGATGAAGTCGGACAATAAATGGGGAAGCCAGAATTTGAACCCAGGCAGTCTGACTGGAGAGCTGACGCTGAGTAAACAAAATTCTGTACAAGTCCAGTGAAATTAAACGGTATGATGCTGCTGCCCCAGAGCCACCCGTGGCTACACAGCGTGTGGCCTAGGAGCTGCTGCCAGCCTCGCCCCGCTGTGAGCTGGTGAGGCAGCAGGGGCACGTGTGGTCCAGGCGCTGCGCTTTAAGAGGCACACAGACAAACAGATGGCTTTCAGAAGACAGTAGATGGCGAGGGGGACTCAGAACCTGTCATCTGAGGCGTGGTTGAAGGAACTGGACATACTTAGCCTGGAGAAGGAGAAGACTCGGGAGGGACTTGCCCCAAGAGCACAGCTTATATTTAAAGTAGATCCTCAAGGAAATGGATTCCACCTAGTTTTGTGACTCTTGACAGATTTCTGGGGTTAGGTTAGGTTTTAACTCTAGCACAGGAGGAGCTTTCTAACTTTTGGAGCTCCAAAGGTGAACCACACAGTTGGAAGAATTGAATCTCTTGTCTTTGGACATAGACAGTCATCAAGTACAACATTGGGCCAGACGGCTTGCCGAGGCACTGTGAAAATGAGCCCCCTTGGTTAGCAGCATTTCTTCAGGATTCCAGGGCCATCTCTGTCACATGACCTTTGGGAGCCAAAATTCACATAACTTGTAGGAGTGTTTTTAATTCAGTCCACCCTGAAAGTTGGCTGCTCCATCTGCTGGACTTGGGGGATGACCTCTGACCTGTCTCCAGGTCATGCCAGGGCTTGGCCATATGGGAATTTAGATAGGTTGGGAAGTCAGACCTCGTGTTCTTTTGTGGCCCCTGCTGGCTGAGCCGGCCGCTCTGCTGATCTGGGACTACGTGCACCCTGTCATCTCTGCCAGTCGCTCACCAGATTTCGACTACACGACCGCTTCCCTTTGTTTCCTAGTCTATCGGTCTCTGTGCCCGCCCTGCCTCATCTCCACACACAGCCCACAGCCTGGTTTGAGCTCGCCAAGCTCTTGGCTCTAGTCCTGAGGGTAGGGTTTTTTCCCGTTGTTCAGGAGAGAGACGCTCTGCCCAAGTCCCCACCTCGTCTTTTCCCAGCTTAGTATCAGCCTTTTTCCTCTGTGCCAGCTCTCAAGAATTACGCCTTCCCTCCTAGTGTTTTACTGTCTGCTCCAGGCCCTGGTCTTGCTTTTATTAGGAAGGACTTCCCTCCCCCGATGCACGGCGTCAGGCTCGTGCTTGAGCAGTCTCAGCAACCCCTTTCCAGTCTCTCTTCTCCCCCAAGGCCCCGGAAATGTGATCCCTAGGTTGGCAATGGTTTCCTGAGCCTCCTGGTCTGTCTAAACCGAATGCTAACAGATAGAATCTCTGATGAGGGGGTACTGGACATTCCCCCTTGCTGTGTGTGGCCCAACTGTGAGCCTCTTGCTCCTACTGGAAATAACAGCTCTCAGGATAAACAGTCACCTTGCTCAGACCAAAAAGAAAAACGCTTGTACAGCATGTTCAGGATCTTTGCTTTTCAGAGAAATACTGTCTGCCTCCCTGTACCCGAGAATCCAACCCCAGTGGAGAGCCATTGCCTCTGAGACGCTTCCTTTCTCTTGGGTCAGATCGTGACGGAGCGGTGAGCACTTGGTTCCTAGCCCTGTACTGGCTCCTCCAGAAAGACTTCGCCATACAGTAGATGAGACACTCAGTCTTACATGGATCCAGACACAGCAGTGTTTAAATGTGCTTATTCGTTGTTCATTCCACAAGTCTCTTGACTGCTTGCTCATGTTGGGTGCTGTTCTTTAGGTTCTGGGGATCAGCAGTGATCTTTTTCACTTGTTTGTTTTCAGTTTTTTTTTTTTTTTTTTTTTGGCCATGCTGCGAGGCTTGCAAGATCTTACCTCCTTGACCAGGGATCAAACCAGGGCCCCCTGCAGTGGAAACATGAAGTCCTAACCACTTGACCACCAGGGAACTCTGGTTTAGCAGTGATCTGCCCAGACAAGTCCCTGCCCTTGAGGTCCTAACTCAGGGGAGAGCTGTCATAGACCACATGTTACAGACATAGCACTTTACATTGAGAGTAGCATGTTAGAGGCAGGACACTATTTAACAAGCATTTTTGGTATATTGCCTTAAAGTTCTCATGTTCCTCTCTCCTTCACATATGACTCTATGGGACAATATTATTAAGATAAATTCTTCTAGCCCCACCATCTCCTCCTTCCCCATATTTCTTCCCCGATTCTTGAAGTTACTCACTCCAGGTTTTCTCTTTTTGCCTGGTTAATCCCAAAGGGACACTTGGGGAAAATAGGGTAGGTCTTCCGTAGGCATAGGATGCATACCCTATCCAGCAGTTTGAACACCTGTAAATCTTTGGGGTGGGGTTAGAAGCCTAAAAACGTTCTTCAAAGATTGATTAATATGGTGTGTTCCCAAACATGTTTCTGAATTCTGTTGGTTCATTCATTTATTTATTAAATATTAAGCTCTTACTATGTGCTGGTTACTGTATAGGTGCTGGGAATTCAGAGGTCAGTAAAAATTAGACATGACCTTGTGTTTATAGAATTTATAGCCTACCCTGAGAGAAATGTTAAGAACATAATCCCACAGATGTCAGGTCATAACTGTGACCATGCTTCGGTGCTGGTGACCAGTCAGGAAGGGTTCCCCAGGGAGGCGGTGTGTGTGTCAAGGTCTGAAGATAGGAAGTAACTGGGCCAGGGGCAAGGCTGTGCAGAGAAGCACTTTCAGGGCAGGATGCTAGCGAGCAGACATCAGGAAAACTCCCTCCAAAGCCCTCTGAAACCTGAGGGGTTCGTTTCCATGAGGGAACCAAAGCTGCAGCCCTTTCCTCCTTTGTTGACCGTGGAACATTCCTTAGGTCATTTCTCAGGACATACTTCAGGAAACACTAGTCATTGTAACCTAAACAGCAGAGAAAACAAGTGAAGGAAAGTTGGTTCAGAGAAAGGGGATTATTGACACTGGCCTCTCAGGTCAGCAGCTCTAAAGGAATTGTGCTCCTGAGTTCACTGAAGACGAATGGGCTGTTCTGCCGTCCCGTTTCCATTCTCTTCCCACCTGGTGCGTCCACGGCTAGTTCATTGCTGACTTCTAGGTCCTTGAAAGTAGGGACCACCTCTTTTTGTCTTTGTAGCCCCAGCACCTAGAACTTTATCTGGCACATAGGAGATGTTTTCTGAATGAATGACTCTTGAGTGATTTCCAGGGACATTCATGGGGTCAGGTATAAGCTCTATTTCACAGAGATGCAGAATTGGACTCTACTATTCATAACTTTTGGCTTTATATGTTTGCAGCATGAGTCTGCTTACTTTGGAGCTAATGATTTTATGATGGGGCTTTTAAAAGAGATCCTACCTCTGAAAAAAGATAGCATTCAAGATGAAATGGAATGTTAAGGAGGAAAAAACGAAACTGCCAGTACTTTTTCTAATAAAAGACATTTCTTCTTTCTCTACCAGGAGCAGTATGCTGTTGGGCTTTTTATCACAACCATTTACTTTTATTTCATTTCAGTTCTTGATTCCCTTTCTTTGAGTTTTTATGTCCATTGCCTTATAAATTTGCTTTTTAATTTTTCCACCTAAGAGCTGTTAGACCTGTGACAATCATAATCATTACTCTAACAATTTCAAATTATTGATGATTTTATTTATTTATAGAATCAACATTTTCAATACAATTCATGCTCAAATATTTTTAAGTGTAGTAATTTTTGACAGCAGTTTTTATCAGGTCAAATGGCATGGAATTTTAAGATTCTCTTTTCTAAAAGAACTTGAATGCCAAACAACTGTAAAAAGTATGTTTTCTTTTTCTAGGATTTACTTACAAGACATAAATTGCTCAGTGCGGAATTTTTGGAACAACATTATGATAGAGTAAGTATGTGAAACTCTATTTTAAAATAGCACACTGTAAGTTTTGGTACCAGAAATGAAGGCTTTTAATTAAATTTTGTACCAGAAGATTTATTTTGGAAATATGTTTTTAATTGGTGCTATAATCACTTCTGTATGAAAACCAAGGTAGAGAGCATCACTTGGTCAGAAGCAGAATTTTCTTTCTGATGACAAACTGCCCTTTGCATCTTTTCTTGCTTTAGAAGAGGAAAATAAAGCACTTTGCTGCTGAATGATAATACACAGTTAAGATAAAGAGAAAATTACTGTGTGGCTTCTTTTCTTCCCCATACTTCGCGTCCATTGCTCACATCCCAGCTGCTTACAGAGAGACAGGGACTCCGCGGCAGTGGGTGAGCAGAGCCCTAGCCTAGAGGACACAGCAGGTGGACGAGCAGTGTCCCCAGTCTGCTGCTGGCTCCTGTGGCTGAGGCCGAGGCCCTTAACTCTGGAGACTCAGGTGTCAGTCCTGATTTGTAAAGTAGGACATTGGTTAGTTCAGCCATAAGGCCCGCTCCAGCTGGAGTTGATGTTAGACTTCCTGGTAATAGAACCCACAGAGGTTTGTGGGCAGGTCTGGGCGCTCTGATGACCTGGTTGCCCTTGATCATTATGACAGCATGGTCATGCCTTCTCTCCCACATGTGTCATCTCTGCTCCCCACGATGCCCACGAGCACTTCCTTGTGCCGCACTGGTTTAATTTCAGTGCTGTCCAAAACTGTATAGGTGCTCCTGGAGAAGTTACCATGATTACAATCCATTTAAAATTTCTATCTCTCCTCTAAAATTTGGCTTAGTTTTTCATTCTTCCACTACTTATTTGAATTTTTAAAATCCTAAGTTTTGTTAATACTTCATTATTCACTATTCAACTAGCTTTTCTTTTCAGGGGGGTGGGAGGGCAGTTTGGCTCCATCTCAGCTTGTGGGATCCTAGTTCCCCAACCAGGCAGGGATTGAATCTGTGCCCTCGATGTGAAAAGTGTGGGGTCCCGGCCACTGGTCCACCAGGAAGTTCCCTGCGCTGTGCAGCTAAGTTAGAAGATTCTTGGAGGCAGAGCTTATGCTTTCTAGTTCTTCCATGTTCCTTTTCCCGTCTTACCCTCCCACTAGGAGTAACATCATAACACAGTGCAGAGTCCACAGTAATTCCCTCAGAAATAGCCTCATCGATGGCTTAAGCATCAGTGGTCATTTATTTTTTCCCGTGTACACTGGGATGTAGGGGTGTTTTTTCCATGTGTTTGCTAGTTTTAGTCGGAAGCACAGTCATTTTGTCAGCACCTTTTGCAGTAGTTAGAAGCGTAGGCTTCAGCACCACACTGTGTGGAGTTTAGCTTCTAGTCCCAGCTTCACTGTGTGCTTCCCTGACCCTCTGTACCTGTAGGATCCTCAGCTCTACGAGAAGGCTCATAACAGCACCTTCTTATTACTGCTAGGTTGCTGTGAGGATTAGGTAAGAATGTGTCGGGTTGCAAGGCACGGTGCCTGGAACACAGTAAGCATGTAATAAGCATTAACAAATTGTTTTTATTAAAACATGATCGAAAGGTTTTTATAATTAAGCATACAAGTTTCTTAATTTAAAGCCTGCCAACGACATTTCCAAGAAATTTACTATAGGCAATGATGTCACTTTAATTTTGCAATAAAATATTTTCCTATGTGTTATTAATGGGTGACATTGGTTATCAGGATTTTGGAAAGCGTATGTGCAGCAGCTAACTGAAATATATATGTAAATATATGTATATATGTATACAGTGCAGTCAGATCTGAGAGAGGAGAAGGAAAGGGGAGATACGAGCAGTTTAAATTAAGCCAAATGTGGAGTTATCACACAAAAACACATGCTCTAAAGTCTGTGCACTTTGGTTCTGAGCTTTCTAATAATCAAAACATAGAGGGAAACAAAACCATTACACAGTGTCTGTGAAGCTTGTTCAAAAGAAACAGCCTTCTCTAGCACTGGGACGTGAAGCACATTTCTCCCATTGGCGGTCTTAAGAGTTGAGTTGCAGTGTCATGGAGTTGACGCCATCCCCGAGGGTGACTCTGCAGTGAAGAAGAGGCTGAACTGAAGTGCGACTCACGGAGAACAAATCTCTGAGGAGCCCAGACAGTGCCAGTCCTTTGTCTATCCTAGTCCTTTACTGCTGACCCGGGGCTGAGATCTAACCAAACAGTTCTCCTTGAGAATAATCTCCTACAACCAAGCTTACCCTAAAAATTATGCAGCAGAAAATCTTAACTTGCATGTTCTGTCAAGAACTTGAGGTGTTTCTGTGTTACTGATCAAAGGCCGATCCGACTGTTTCGATCATGGCTTGATGATCGTTAAAGGAGAAGGTAGGGGTAACAGCCACCTCTGAAGAGAGAAGTCTGACTCCCTTGCATACTATATAGAGGGCGATCCCGCCTCTGCCTGGAGATAAAAGAATGGATGCAGGGACGGTTCTGGGTTAGCGCTAAAACCTCTTCTGTAAGGGGCCAGCCAAAGAGCAAATATTTGAGGCTTCATGGCTGCACAGTCTTGGTCAACTTTCCTGTCAGTTCTACCGCAGAGGCAGCCATAAACAGTTCATAAACGAATTTATTTACAATACACAAATGAACATGGCTGTATTCCAGTAAAACTTGTATAAAAACAGACGGTGAGTTGGATATAGCCCATGAGCTAGAGTTTGCCAACCCCAGCTCTAAACCTCAGATGAATGACTGATGAGGACTGATGAGGACCCATCATAAAGCAAAGGCAGAAGTAGTCTGAGTGTGGACAGAATACACAGCAGGCATCCTCAACCACCCACCACAGCCAGGGACAAGTCTCAGTAATGTACTGACACCCAGCAGCATCACACTAGTAATGCAACATTTTGTAACTTTAGAAGCCTGTCCATTGTTCAGACAAACAAAAAGCTAACTGGCCCACTCATCTAGCTTTTGAGAAAGGAGGCCCTGCCCCCTGTGTGTCCCCCACCTCCTTACTGTCCTCTGCTTCTGCTCCTTACCCTTCCAGGGACATGGTTCTTGTCAGCAAGCCCCAGTTTGTAAATCTAGTGGACCCTCGTCAGCTCTTCAGTCTGTATCATTTTGCATTTTCCAGGTCTTCAGTCTTGTTGTGTTCTTCTGTGTTTTCCCCAGAGTATCTCTTCTCCTCCACAAAAATCTCTTTCATTATTCAAGTTGAGCTCAAGTCCTACCGTTTGTGGGACACGTACCTAACAGTGCTGAATTTCTCTCTTTTCTATTCTTAATTATTTTCTTGCTTTGAAAGAACAGATAACTTTTCTCTTTGTGGTTGTGCTTTGGACTAGTTGAATTGTAAAAAATATATATACATATATATATATACATATGAATTTTCTAATTCAATACCAGGAAGTGAGAACAGTGGGGTGGGGAGGTGGGGAAGGGAGTAAGTTGTGTGTATCTGAAGTTTGGGTGACAGAAGAGATATAAGCTCTGTACACACTTCTCTGGAGCTTGGAGAGGGCCAGCCCAGGAGCCTTTTTCATGGCAGTAACCAGCGGATATCACTCAAGGGTGAGGGTGAAACAGATGGGAGGAGCAGGGCTTGGGCAGAGATTGGCCTCTGTGCTGTTAGAAGTGTGTGCTCAAGCTTTTCAGTGTTATCTACTGCTCTTAAAAAAACCTCTGATGGGTGTTTTCTTGTCTTTTAGTTCTTCAGTGAATATGAGAAGTTACTTCATTCAGAAAACTATGTGACAAAAAGACAGTCACTCAAGGTATGACAGACCATCTGAATCGTTCATTTCTCTCCACCCCTTGTTTGAAACATGTATGGGTCCCAGACCTTTACAGGAAACAGGCATGTGTCCCTGGCTGAGATTTTTGTGGAAAGGAGCAGGGCTCAGCAGTGGGTCACCTGGGGCACCCGCTCCAGCTCACCTCCTTGTGTATTAGAGACACCAAAATAGAATATGCAGAATTTTGAAGAGAATCTGATCTCCAAGTGATGAAGTTCTTTAGGTTTTGGAGCCTTATTTTTAAAACTTAGAATTGTTACCACCAAGTTGAAGGCACCACAGGTGTTGCGCTCCCAGGATTCTGCCCAGAGGGTCCCAGGCTTGCTGTGTGAGGGGAGGGGCGGCTGCCAGTGGTGACATGGGGAACCAGGCGGCTTTGGCTGCTTTGTGTCAAAATAGGATGTGGACAGTTCCATTTGAAATTTAAATAAAGACTTAAAACTCTAGAACAGGGGTTGACAAGCCCATGAGCCACATCCAGCCCATTACCTATTTTTGTAAATAAAATTCTGTTGGAACGCAGATGTACTTGTTCATTTATGTATTGTCTGTGGCTGTTTTGGCTACAATAGCAGATTTGAGTGGTTGCCTCAGACACTTTATGGGTAGCAAAGACGTTAGTATTTCCTGTCTTGCTCTTTACAGATCGTTTGTTAACCCTTACTCTAGAAAATTCTTACTGCAGTTAATAAATGTATACCCATGTATACCCTTCCTTCTGTCAGGAAGTGGTCCTGACAGGAGTTACAGATGGAATCACAAAGGATTTGTGGGTGGAAATTTGGAATTCCATTTGTGTTTTTTGCCAGGTCCACTTCAAATTCTACTCTGCCCAGAGTGCTTCCCCTCAGAGATATCTGAATTTATTTTAATCAAGACACTCCATTCCGCCTGCTGCTGCTCCCATGGGGATATCACTCTTCTCCACCTTGTCTTTCTGTGGAAATTGACTAAAGAACATTAGGGACATTCCCAAAAGATTCCTTTCCCCTGACTAGCTAGTTCCCTCGTTTTCCTTAAGGCCATAAGGAATATGTCGCCACTACAGCGCTCCGTCAGGTGGAGCCTGGCCTCCCAGGCATCCTTTGGTCCAGTGTCGGGGCCTCAGCCTGGTCTCCGTTTGCAGGCGTGCTGGCTGGGCAGTCGCCGGGGGTTGTGAGAGCCGATGGGGACAACCCTTCATGTTCGGTGGACGCAGTGCACCTGGCAGCTGCGGAACGCATTGTTCCCCCTGCGCGTCAGTGTGTCCTGGTGCAGGCTGCCCCGAGAGCCTCTCGGGAAGGCCACCCTCTGCCAGGAACCTCCTTATCCAAGGGCCTCTTCCCCTGTTGGAGGCACTCAGTGTTTTCTGAGGCCAAGGAGGCTAGAGGGGTTTGTCTTGGATACTAGCTTCCAGGACTGATATCTCCTGGGTAGCGGGGCGGGGCGGAGGGGGGTGGTTCTTAATTGGCAAATCAGAAGACTTGGACCAAATGCAGAATTCTTGGGCTGCTTAGATAGGAGAAAGACTTTCAAGACCTTCTAACACTTCAGAATTACCAACATGAAAGGAAGATGATGACTGCCACTTGTGAGACCTTAGTAATGGATATGAAGCCAGTCTTTCATGCCTGCAGTTTCTCCTGAACACATGGAGAAATTTTGAGGACCAGTGGTACTCTAAACATGTATTTTAATTTGTACTCCCTTTTTTGCAGCCACATTGGCATTTATTTATCCCTGTATTTATTTAAATTTGAATTCCCTGTACCAGATTTCAGGGGGGTTTTTTGGCCATGCTGTGTGGCTTATGGAATCTTAGTACCGCGACCAACAATTGAACCCTGGCCCTCAGCAGTGAGAGTGCAGAGTCCTAACCACTGGACTGCCAGGGTTTTATTTTTAATAAAACTGGCCTGACATTTTTAAATTTTTACATCCAAAGAAAAATTTTAAATTACTGGTTACCCTCCCCTAGATAATCAAGCTGAAATGAGCCATTTTCAGTATCTCTGGTTTGTGTGACAGAAAATGAACACTGGGTAAATCTGTACACATGCTAACTTCTGAGCCTCTGAAAGAATAAATACCAGGCTTCTTACTTTGAAAGTTGTAGATTTTGTGATTCGGATCGGTGTGAAACCTGTCTGAGCTTTTGAATTCTTCCTCTAAATTCTTTATAAATCCTACACAGATTTGTTGTCCTGCACATCAGGTTATTTTTGGTTTCCTGTGATATGTTATTCATCTAGAGATCAGTTATCTGGAAACGTCAGGTATGTAGACATAGTCAGGAACGCAAAAAGTAATTAACAAAAGCAAGTAAACCATGGCAAAGTAGCTCTGTCCATGTGTTTTTCTTCCCTTGGACCTCATTCCATGTCTCTTATTAGACTCAGGTCCACTGTGCTTTGCTTGTATTCATGCTGTTATTTCGCACTGCACTGTCATAAGATACAGGTAGCATCATCCACTCCCTTGTACAGATGATGAAACTGAAGCACAGAGAAGTTAAATAACGCGCTCAAGGAGATAGAGCTCACAAGGAGCAACATGGCAGGATCTGAACCCAGGCCGGCTGGTGCTTGGAGCCGGGCTGGGCGCCACTCTGGGGTGCCTCTGGGCCCCTGTGCCCCATGCGGTCTTGCCACCTGCACACTAGTCCTTGACTGGAAGTTGGCACAGTGACAACATGAAGAGGTGACTGCTAGTTTCAGAAAAAGAAATCTAGAACAAGCAGGTTTGATTTTAAAATTAAGAGCTGATGTGGTATAATCAACTCCATAGAACTCAGTAAGCACAGACTTAACGGCAGCGACAGATTTTTTTTTTAGCTTAATTAATGTCATTAGTGATACTGTGGTGTCACTAAGAGAAGTTTAGAGTATCTTCAGGATACCTTGCTTAAGAAGGACCAGAAAAGTACTTGTTTTTATAAAGCTTTCTGAATCAGATAAGATAAAATGATGTTTGGCATGTATAGGGGTAACTATATGGAAAGCTATCTACATGAAACCCTTTGTCCCGTAAAGTTCAGATACATAAAAAATAGTAAAATTATTTTTAAATTTAGCTAAGGTTTATAGTTATCCAGTAACTTATCTTCTGACCCCTTTCTTTGGTAGTTTCTTTTTATTGAGGTAACACAAATGCATATTTAAAGAATAGGTTCTGATAAGTCTCAGATTCTGAGCCAGATGTGACTTGAATGTGGTCATCTTCAGGGAGCAGTGTCAGACCCACCATAGGTTTAAACCCCAGAAGGAAAAGGAGGTGCCCAAGTAGCAAACAGGAAGTGCTCATTAGCTTTCAGGTCATAATTCAATTCATCCATCTTTTGAGTGCCTATTAATATTCCATGCTTAATAATATTATTTAATGAACTGTTTTTAAAACTTTGGTTTTACTTCAAATCTTAAATGATAATGGTGGAATAACGGGATAAATTGTTTATCTTCTCAGCTTCTCGGTGAACTGCTACTAGACAGACACAACTTCACGATTATGACAAAATACATCAGTAAACCTGAGAACCTCAAATTAATGATGAACCTTCTACGAGACAAAAGCCGTAACATCCAGTTTGAGGCCTTCCACGTTTTTAAGGTAGAGTACTAAAACCGTAAACACTCGTTGTTCATCCCATTTTATTTGCAAGTTACTTGTTTTATTAGCTTCATTTTGGTAATCTGAGTGACACAGTTCCATTCAGTCCATTTTCACAGTTGTGTGGTAAAACATTTAAACAAAAATGGACCCAGAAACAGGGCATTTGTATTTGGGAATGAGAAAAGTTGATTTGTAGAGGAGTGTCACTTATCTTTGGCATCAGTTCAGCTCAGTTACTCAGTTGTGTCTGACTCTGTGACCCCATGGACTGCAGCACACCAGGCTTCCCTGTCCATCACCAACTCCTGGAGCTTGCTCAAACTCACGTCCATCGAGTCAGTGATGCCATCCAGCCATCTCATCCTTTGTCGTCCCCTTCTCCCACCTTCAGTCTTTGCCAGCATCAGGGTCTTGTCCAGTGAGTCAGTTCTCCGCATCAGGTGGTCTTTGGCATGGAAGATTACTAATCCCAAAGTAAAGGGTAATGCATTTCTTAATGCTTTCCATGGATACTTTTGTTCTTAAAATCCATTCTGACCTCCTGTGCCCAGAACTAACTTCTGCCCATTTTATTCTAAAATCAAAGTCTGTATTTAATACCAACTACAGAGTTTCAGGCTTCCCTGGTAGCTCAGACAGTAAAGTGTCTGCCTGCAATGCAGGAGACCCGGGTTCGATCCCTGGGTTGGGAAGATCCCCTGGAGAAGGAAATGGCAACCCACTCCAGTACTCTTGCCTGGAAAATTCCATGGACAGAGGAGCCTTGTAAGCTACAGTCCATGGGGGTCGCGAAGAGTCGGACACGACTGAGTGACTTCACTTGAGAGTTTCAGAGCATGAGTAAACACGTCAGTCCTTTTTGTGCTTAAACATGCACTTCTTCCCTCCTTTATTAATTGTAAAAATAAGGCCTTCCAGAGCAGACGCCCCTGAGTGAGTGACCCCGACTTCAGCCCGGGCCCCCGGGAGCAGCGGGCGTGGCCGCTTGTGCTCTGCTGACTGCCGTCTCCGTGGCGCCCGGCCCTGTAGCTGACGTTGCTCTCTCCCCGTGCAGGTGTTCGTAGCCAACCCCAACAAGACGCAGCCCATCCTCGACATCCTCCTCAAGAACCAGGCCAAGCTCATAGAGTTCCTCAGCAAGTTCCAGAATGACAGGACCGAGGATGAGCAGTTCAATGATGAGAAGACGTATTTAGTCAAACAGATCAGGGATTTGAAGAGACCAGCTCAGCAAGAAGCCTGATTTCCAATAAACATCGAAAAAATTAAATCCAAGTTCAGCATCTGCTGTTAGCTATTCAGCATCAGGCACTGTTATCGATTCATGAGGAACATTACTGCTAATCTGCTGTTAAGTGAACGGTTTTCATTTTACCTTTTTTGATTTTTTGTTTGTTTGTTTGTTTTTTTAGTCCAAGTTGGAGAACGTAGCTGCTGCTTTCTTGCACACTAGAGCACACGTGGACTTTTTCTTGATCTTTGTGTCATTTCAGAACTTAAAGACTTCGTTTGCTGTAGAAGTTCTGAACTTGGCTAGGTTCCTGAAGGCAAATGCATAGATGATAGTGTGTGTTAGGGGAAGAGGGCATTGATCTGATCAGAGTAAACCTGCCTGTTTGCGTTTACCTTTGTTAAAGATCTGAGCGCGGATTCTGGGTAAGATTGTATGCCTTCACTCTTGGAAGATCGTGCAGAGCTTTATTTGAAATCCTAGGGGAACTGTATCCGAGATGGGAGCTCCTTGAGTGGATAAAGTTGACACACGAATAAATTGATACTGAAACTTAGCAACTTCTCAAAAGTGTGAAGCTTCATAAGGTCATAAGGAAAATGTATATATGCTTTTCACAGCTTTCTAGAATTTTTTGACATTTGATTTTCTTGAGACTTGTAAACCTGGATATGTTGAAGGGTATTTGTTAATTTTACTTTTTGAAGGTATTTTAAAACAGTAGAGCTAGCAACGACACCTCGCATTTCATTTCAACAGTGCTTACAGGTTTCTTTTGTATATAATTCTTAGAATGCTCATTTCTTTTAAATGATTTAATTTGTACAGCAGAGGAATGTTATTGTATTAGTATGTAACTATTACCTAATATTGAGTTTTTGCAAAAAATGAATGCTCATATGTAATTGAAATACTTCAGATCACCTGAAAATGCTGATTTAACATTTAAGTATCACAGCATTAAAAGAAAACGAAGTAAACCAGTCCTTTGTATTCAGTTATCTAATGGGGTGCCATCAATAGACGACAGTACAGACCTGGAACTCAGCTACACCTTTTCCTGCATAATATTGGCCTTATTCATTTAAAATGAGTCAAGAGTTCTCCAGATCTATGAATGATACCAATTATGCTAAATTAACGCTGATTCTTTGTGTGTGGGGAGACCTCGTTAGAGCACCTTTTCTTTCTTAGAGTAAGTAATCCAGTACAATAGTTGTGAAACTGAATAATTAAAACTTTGGCTTCTCTTAGGAAAAGAAGAGTTCCTAGTCACAGGTGTCCTATGGGGAAATTTATTTTTTTTAACGTCCTGTTCCTTAATGCTGCAAATTATCAGTATTTATAAAGTAACTGATTTTGCACCACTTTTTTGTTACTGTGACCACGGCAGAACAACGTCTCCTAGAATATATATCTATGTAAAGTTATTAGAATGGTATCTGTTCATCTTAGTGACATGAAGATCACAACTAACAACTTACAAATCAGAGTTTGCCGGTTCGAATTCAGCATGGCTGTAGCTGATTAAGAAATTTATATAATTATTCTTTGCTAGCCTCTCTTACTAATTGAATTACTTCTCAGCCAGTAAATTGAGACTCCTAGATGATGTTTCAACAGGCTTTAAAATCTCCTTCCAGGAGCACCATTTAGGAAAAGAGCCCCAGAAAATACAAATGTATTTTATTCTGTTTATTTGAAATAGCGGTCTACATTTATAATTGGTTTTCCTGAGCCTGTCTTTACCAAAATCTGTGTAAAATATTCCATGTTTTTTCTGTTGGAACTAAAGAAAGCAATCCAAACTCCTTGAAATGAAACTATCCAAGACGTTTAGGAAGGCAGAGTTGGCTGTGATGCATCGTTCTGATTCGCATGGTCCAGTGCTGGGTGTCTGGATTCAGGGTGCAAGCATTCATTACACCACATGGAAGAAAGGTTTCCTTGCCAAGCTGGTTCTTAGAAATCGAAACAGCAGCTTCCACTTTGGTGATGCTATTGTAGCACTAGAGCCTTTGTGTGGAACACAGTGAGGGGTGCAGCGTGTCAAAGAAAACACGGATGTGTTACTCTCGCATTAGAATCTGGGGATAGTTAAGACTTTTGGCTTTTTGTTGTTTTTAAACAAAAATGTGAAAACAAAGTTAAAAATTGCATTTGAAATTCTGATCATTTAATATATTCATGTTACCAAAACTATTATACTGGAAGTGGTTTCTTTTTGTGTTATAAAGGTTTAATTTTACATAAGTCAGTTACTCAATGTGATTTTTAACCCTTAAAAAAAAAAAAGGTGGAGATGTATACAATTGTTAACAATGCCTTGGAAGCATTTCCTTTCTCTTGAGGAAAAGTAAATTTCTTATCAGAATATCTGGCTGGCCCTGTAATTTAAATTAAAATAAAATTTTGGAGAAACAACATTGTCGGTTGTTTACATGATATCTTTAGATAACTGCGTTTGTGTCACTGTTAACAACCCGGTCAGGAGACACACTAGCACAAACTGTCACACAGACTGTAGCTGAGAACAGTTAATACACAAGCCTCTAAGTCTTTTTTTCCCCATTTTTGGTGTCCACAATGTGGCTTTTCACTTGGGCCATGTATAGCTCCCTGGCCCTGCCTTTCATAGTTAAGTATTAAGCCTTTTACTCGCCTCACTTCTCAGACCGTAGATCCTCTCTCTGGTTCTGTGACCCTTCATTATCAATATACTAAGATAAAACTGAGCACTCGGCAGGACTGCTTAGAAGTAGCCGGAGTGAAATCACAAAGAAGCTGCAAGCGCTCTGGAGGCACAGGGTTCAGTGGCCCCCTCAGGAGGTCGGTCCTCCGGGCCACCTGCTGCCACGTGGCGCCCAGCCCCGTCCTCGAGGTTTCCTGTAACCCTCATCAGGAGATGGGGCCTCCAGTCTCCCACACACACTCTTCCCAAAAACACCTCTCTGAAATCTGAATAATGATGTTCTGCTCGTTACAATCTCCTATAGGAGGTAGTTGAGCCCCACAGGTCTATCTTGCTTCTGCAAAGATGATGATGGGACCAGGCGACACTGCCCATCCTCCAGAGGGTGAGCAGGGAGCCAACAGCAGGGGCATCCACACCGAGGCCTGGACTCGGGCCTCCTCCCATAGCGCCCGCCCCCACGTCCACAGCTGAAGTCACCAGGCCGCCTTCCTCGAGTGAGGATCGAGCAAACTGGCTGCAAAGGCTCACACAACGCTTGCTGGGTCTTGGAAGCCAGAGCCGTCGGAGGCATGAGTCACCACCGTGCACACCTCAGAGGCCGCACACCTCACAGCCACTTCTGTGTCCCCACACTTCCCGTGACCCTCCTCCCAGCGGAGAGCTAAAGCCATGAAGGACTAGGTGAGACTCCCCGCCACAGCCTCCACGTTCTGCCTGCTGGTCCTGGAACCGAGCCTCAGATAGGCCACCCTGGAGCCACCTGCGTGTGCCCCTTTGCCTCCTGATGAGCAGCGACATCACTAACGGGGTGTCCTGGGCTTAAGTCCCAATAAAAGCTATGGTTTTCCCAGTAGTCATGTACACATGTGAGGTTAGACCATAAAGAAGGCGGAGCACTGAAGAATTGATGCCTTCGAACTGTGGTGCTGGAGAAGACTCTTGAGAGTCCCTTGGACTGTAAGGAGATCAAACCGTCAATCCTAAAAGAAAAAGTCCTGAATCTTCATTGGAAGGACTGATGCTGAAGCTCCAGTACTTTGGCCACCTGATGTGAATGGCTGACTCATTGGGAAAGACCCTGATGTTTGGAAAGATTGAAGGCAGGAGAAGTGGATGACAGAGGATGAGATGGTTGGATAGCATCACCAACTCAACGGACATGAGCAAACTCCAGGATATAGCAAAGGACAGAGGAGCCTGGCATGCTGCAGTCCATGGGATCACAGAGTCTGACACAACTTAGCAATGGAACAACAACAAAAAAGAAAAAAAGACTGGCATTTGAACCCTGGTCCCAAGTTGCACTGCCAAGGAAACCCCACCTAAGACATGCTCGTTGTGTTCCTTCTAACCCGGGGGCAGGAGCTGCCAGGCCTGCAGACAGCTGGGTGCGGGGCCTCCCTCAAAGGAGGCCTGGGACAGCAGAGTGGCACTGCCTGCTCTCTGGAGCTCCCCTCATGATTTCCTCTCCTGCACAGAGAGACCGTAGCTGGCACAGTGAGGCCAGTCAGGACCAGAGCTGCTGCTGCTGTCGCTGGACAGGGCGCACCCACAGCTCCAAATTGTTCTTCACGGCCATCACAGCTCCTAGCAAAACTGGAAAACTCCCAATTCCCCCTCATGCTCTCTTCTGCTCTCTTCTAAAAAAATGTTTTCTTAGAAAGTATAGTATTAATATAACCTTACAAAATGATTGCACAAGTGGAAATTGGGGCTGAGTTAGGAAGCGTCCAGGTCTCAGTTAGAATTGGGATGGGGCTTAGTGGGGAACGGGCTAGGGTAGCGTCAACTCTGGGCTCACAGTTGCTGGCAGCCTGAAAGGTGCTCTTGCCTATCAGGGCTCCGGCTTTTCCTGCACGCGGCACTTTAAAGGTCCACCAGGTGGCAGTAGAGCCCTTGTTCTCAGCCGCTGTTCTCAGGTGGCGCTAGTGGTAAAGAACCCACCTGCCAACGCGGGTTCAACTCTTGGGTCAGGAAGTTTCCCTGGAGGACGATGTGGCAACCCACGCGAGTATTCTTGCCTGGAGAATCCGCATGGACGGAGGAGCCTGGTCAGCTGCAATCCATAGGGTCGCAGAGAGTCGGACACGACTGAAGTGACAGCACGCACAAGCCTAGGGAATGGGGCATCCAGACAGCAAACCCAGCCTTACAAATGTGCAGGGACCCAGAGACCCTGTGGCCGTTGTGAGCCAGGGGGCCCCTGGCTTCCTGAGTGCTGTTCTGAGCAAAAAGGATGCGGTAGCCAAGAGAGGGTTTTAAAAGAAAAAAAGAGGGTGGAAGAGATTGTGATAAAAATGCGAAGTGTATTAAAGAT